TCACAATTAATGAAGACTGTACAAATCAGATGAAAGAATCAGATGATGAGAAATCAAGCATAAGAGCGAAGTCTACTATTACCAAAATGAGACATCGAAGTATCAGACGAAGAAATAGTCAAGGAGAGACATGAACCAGTGAAGTTGAGACAGATGAAGCAAGAGACAGAGGAAACCAAGCGTCAAGAGATGGATAGTTGGAACACGAACGAGTGCCAGATGATCATAAAATACTCAGACAGAGACGTGTCTAGTACAACTATCATAAAGTGCAAATCAGATGAGACATATGTCTAAGATCAAAAGAAAGTCGACCATGCATCAGATGAAGGACAACACAGACTGAAAGATACTCTAGATAGAAATAATGTTTGTTTACTCACATTGTTAATCAGACCAAAGAAAAGTTCAAGCACTGAACTCAAACGTTGAGGCAAAAGTCAAGATTGAAATGCACAAGACCAACAGACGAAGACGAAGACTATCATAAAAGCATATAAAGAATCAAGTCTCAAGAGATAAACCAAGGCATCGTCTATAATCACACAGAAGCACTCAATATAAGACACATGATCCAAACGAAGAAACAAAGAAGAAAAGAAGAACGCAAAAGCAAAAGCATGCATGGGTCAGAAAAAGTAGATTACTTTTTTAGAAAAGGACAACGGTTATATTGCTGCATGATCAGAAAAAGACAAACAACTTCTAGGTCTCAGATAAAGTCAAACACCACTGACAATTGACCAAAGAAGAATACACGCAATGTCTAAAAGCAGGAAGCAACATTTAATGCAAGACCAAATGCATTAAATGAAAGGATCAAACTAGTCTTGAATGAATATATCTACTTCAACGGACACTTGCAACGGGAAGCTCCGCATCAATGGACATATTCAAAATCAAGAAACGGGCAGATCTCCACTAGACCATATATATATATATATATATCACTATCTCAAACTTTAAGAGGTTGGCTTTTTGATTGGAAGAAAAAGAGTGATATCAAGCTCACGAGACAGAGACCACAGCTGAGCATACATAGTCATATGTACAATGTTATATTGTATTTTTTATCTCTATAGACTAAGGTGTTCAAAAATTTTAGTGATGGACAAAACCTTAGTGAGTGTTGTAAACTTATGTATCCTCTCCATGAGAGTAACCCACATACTCAAAATCTCTGTAAAATTAAGGTAGCAAACCTTAGTGAGTGTAGATCATATATGTATCCTCTCTATGAGAGTAACCCAAAACACTCGAACCCGACTACACATCTATCATCGTAAAGCCTGAAGAGGCTAGGATACTTGGAGAACCAGAAGTGGTTTAAGAATACTAGCGTTGGTGAGTGAAGCCGACGGGCCAGGAGTAGTCGAGAATACTTGGAGAACCATAAGTGGTTTAAGAATACTAGCGTTGGTGAGTGAAGCCTACGGGCTAGGAGTAGTCGAGAATACTTGGGTCAGGAGTGGTCGAGAATACTCAGGTCCAGGAGTGGACGATAATACTCAATGTACTTCATTTTATATCTAGTGGAACCCTTCAAGTTGAAGGAGACTTGACGTAGCTCTATTGAGCGAACCAGTATAAAATGATTGCATCCTCTTATTTACTTAGACGCAAATCTTCCTTACTGATTAAACCTTTGTGAAAGACTTTGTCTAATGTTTATATACATCTTTAAAACAACCTTTAGACAAATATGTTGACTTTGCTTAACAAGCTTATCACATTGAAAGTTTCATCTAATACTTATCCTTAAACTAAACTATCTTGAAAAGGAAAATGTAAGAATTTCAACGATTATCTTTACGAAACATTTTCCCTAGTGGAAGATAAACCCTTCAGACGCAGTAATCTTGATTAAGCAAATTTGCATAACTGTCCGATGTTCAAAAGAACACTGGACGGAGAACATCACTGTTGCGAAAATGTTTTAAACTTCCTTGTTCACACACACACATATTCAACCCCCCTTCTATGTGTATTTCCGCTAACCTCAAAAGGGACACCACTACTGAGGATCTCCCCCCTAATCTTAGATAGACGCCCTCCTTTCCAATCACTAAGAAAAAAAAAACCAATCAAAGCCCTATCTAAGTAAATCTTCGTCTGTTATTTTTCCGGCCCCTCGAATGAATGAATGTGAGAGGAGCGAAAAAAGCCCAGCTCCCTAACCTAATGTGGCACCGGGTTCGAATTGTAGGGAACTGTAGCATGGGAGGATGTCTAATCCTTTTGTAGCTGCAAGGCTGGCTAATCGTATGCAGCTGGCTCGAATACCCCTTGTTCTGGAAGGCACATGAGTCTGAACGCTATGTTGAATGTGCGACCGACACATGATGGCAATTCCTACGGCTACTTATATATATATGACTATTCCGATTTCTGTTTCTGGTGTTGCTTATACCTGATGCTGCTCCAGGGCGAGGAGTTAATGACCGGACGTGCTGTAACCTAGGGATCACTAGGCAGCTCTTGTGCTCTATAGGGATCAGGAGGGCATAGCACAATTCTTCTTGGAGGAGGGTTGATTTTTTTGGATGTCAATTCATCCATACTTCCATTCTTTATAGAGGGAGGAGATCTAAATTGAATAGCGTAGAATGGATGAAGTACTCATTGATGAGAGCGTACAGGTATGGCTCGTGTCTTTTATTCTGAAGAAAGGCGATAAATGTGTCAAAGAAGTGCATTAGCTTGCATGGAGACATCCAGCGATATCCACGCATCATGAGTGTCTTTGCCTTTTCTTCATCTGAAATACCAAACAAACTAGCCTCCTAACTGCACCTATGCATGAAGTTTTGATAATACTTCTCAGTGTCGTCTTTAGTGCATTGAAGTGCATTTGCAGGATCTTGTGGCTTGTCCAAACTTACCCCTGGATAGTGACAAACCTCAACCCTTGATGGTTTGGGCATTGGTCCGAGATGAAGTGCAGGATCCTTCATCTTGTTTTGATCCACTAGAGGAAGACGGGGGAAAATGCGGTCAGGGTAAACAAAAATTTGGGTGTCATTTGTGGTGTATAGTGAGGGAGGCATCCAGTATACTACAAATAGTTTCATCTTTAACAAAAATGACAGAAGAATAAATTTTAGCAAGATCACAAATTTCTATGAGATTGATCACAAAGCAAGGTACAGTAAAAACGGATTTTTAGGTATATGGTAAATTATAAGTTGTATATCAAATTATACATTTATACACTCAACTATATGTTTGATAAATAAAGATCAAAAATTGAATCTAGGACGAGTAGTTGTAAGTCTTCATTTCATAAAATTGTGCAGGAAATTTAATTTGAGTAACATAAATGTTTCCATTCAAAGATCTCTTTTTTCCTATCATTTCCTCATAGCAAATAGCATAAATATATCTCAAAGACAAAGGCAAACAAAATAAAAATCTCAACTAAAATGGGTGTGTAGATCAATTCACCTGATATGAGTAATGGGTGTGTAGATCAATTGATGACATGAAGCAAGATTGTGTAGGATGTGTCTGGCAATGCAGAATTATGTGTTAGTGTAGCAACATGGGAATACTAACAAATTAAAAATACGAAATTTGGATACGATAAAAATGAAACTGAGGAATATTAACAACATTCTCCTTTCAACACTCTTTATTAGGCCCACATTTTAATAGTAGAGCTCAGATGGAATTTCACCACAATAAAAAATACAGCATTGAGAAGAGTGTCCAAAACATTTTTCAACGAGACTATAGAGTAAGTGACACAAAAAAAAATCATTCTTTGGAAGTCAGGAAATAGAAGAAAAAAAAAATCAAAAACCCCAATCTGTTTCCTCCAAACACAAATGAGGCACAAATTAGCAAACTCTGTTTTCTTTTCGAATGTCATATTTTTCACCTTTCTTGGTTGTCAAAGGAAAAAGTGCTTATATACATTCTCCATCAGCATACCTCTACTATTACATTAAAACAAAAAGTTATATATGTTGTTAGTTTATTAATAGATAATTTAATAAAGATAAATATTATCATAAGAAATTTAATTTAATAAAAAAATGTAACTTCTAGTGTTCTTTTTACAAAAATAAGCAGCAAACATTTAATGCCAAGTCAGAAGCATTAAATGTCACAATTAATGAAGACTGTACAAATCAGATGAAAGAATCAGATGATGAGAAATCAAGCATAAGAGCGAAGTCTACTATTACCAAAATGAGACATCGAAGTATCAGACGAAGAAATAGTCAAGGAGCTTCCCTCTTTGATGCTCCTAACTTAATCCATGTAAGGAGGGTTGTTATCATTACCTACTGCAGTTTTTATCTCCAGATACCCATGGGTACAAATTTTTTTACATCCCTATACATGAGCCACACATCCAATAGGGATGATAATGTTGGTTGAATCTAATGGGTCAACTTGTCAACCCATCTATTTTTGATGGGTTGAGTTTGATAAATAAACCACTAAACCCCCCACCTAACCCGCCATCTTGGTGGACCAACCTGCCAACCTATCTTTTTGTTTTGTTTTATATCCATAAAAGATAAATTTACAGTAAATTGATGTTGGATCAAGAACATAACTTTTTTTTCTAGATAATTATTCTCATAGTATATTGGTTTAATCGTATATTTTTTACCGGTAAATTTTCATGTATAATCTTTTTAAAAATGATAATTTACATCGAAAACCCTATATTTTTGTTGAATATGTTTACTTATTTGAACTTGGAATTTTGAGGCTGGTTTCAATATTGAATTGTCATACTGCACTGTAAATGGAGTTGAGGTTTTATGCAATATTGCTTTTGTTACTAATGGGGGTACTTGTTTTGAAGTGTTTGGTATTTACTCCATGAATAATGCAGTGTTTGGTATAGCCAAACACATAGTAAATCATAATAAGTAATAAATTAATCTATGAAATTATTCAAAGAGAGAAGGGTTAGATATCCTACTTTTGAATTTGCTCCGTTGCCACTATCCAACCACTACCAACAAAAACACTTTAGTTCAATACCATAATATGTGTTTAATCTAAGGAAGGTAAGCTAACAAGAAAAAGAAATGGCAAAAGGGTCTCATCTCATATAACTGATGTCTATAAAAGGCCAGTCACTAGTCTTTTGGAACATGCACACTTCCTCTACAGGATATCTAGAGCTACCTAATTGAAATCAAAATTACAACATAACCAGCTATGGCCTCTCACCACAGTTGCATGATATTGGCCTTTCTCATTGCTATTTCCTCATCAAGCATAAACATGGCATTAGCAGCCCGCCAACTGTTGCAAACAACATTGCCACCTTTGCCTACAGTTCCAACATTGCCTCAGGGAAATGTTCCACCTTTGCCTACTATCCCATTACCATCCATGCCTAACATTCCAAGTGTCCCAAAGGTCACTCTGCCACCACTTCCAACAACTTCACTGCCAAACTTTCCATCAATCCCCACCATTCCAACCACTTTTCCTTCCATCCCCTTCTTCTCTCCACCACCTTCAACCACCACCCCCTGAAACTGAACCTCCCCTCCTTCTCTTGGAGTTGGACACACTCATCTGTACCATGTTTTAGTCTTATACTATATACACATACATTCTGTTTTTATTTGTTGTTTATCTTCTGTTCAAGATGCTTTTATCTTTTCATTGTTCCATTTGTTCTTTGCTTTTCAATATCTTGTTGCACTTTTGCTTTTACTTCATGTACTTGGAGACCCATTGTTATAGACTCTATTATTACATGATTATAAATCTTCCTTTCTTGTTCACTTTCACAAAATATATATTGCTACTGTTTAATGTTCTAACCCCGTAAGTTTCAATGAGCTATTAGTCGCCTGGGCAAACAAATTTTATTTTATTTGGAAAAGTAGCAACGTAAATGGATAAATATCAAGGTATTATTGCTAATTGAGCTACTAACTTTGTCCCATCAGTGAGTAAAAATATATGAAGGTACTTGTATATATAATTAATCATGTTACAAAGTTAATAAAATATCTAATAATGAACTTTGATTCATGTGGTTAAATTACTATTGTTCTATATTACTACTTGATACGAAGAAATTGTCCCTCTCTCTGGTGTTTAATTATGTCTCTGATTGGGCTATAATATATGCCCGTGGACTTGTAATAAACTCTAAATTTTGTGTTTGAATGGAATAGCGAGTCTCCCCCGCCCCGCAAAATAAACAAAATATAATAATATACACTACTAGAATTTCTTTTATTACATGCGAATTTTCCTATAAATTTTTATGAAAAATTCACAAGAAATGTTGTTCTTACAAATTTTTCTGCGAAATTTTATCTGCAAGTAATATCTTTGTGGATAATATGTTTTTGCAAATTTTAAAATTCGCAAGAAATTTTCCTGCGAAATTTCTTGCGAAAAATTTCACAGGAAAGTTTCCTGCAAAAAAAAATTTGCAAGAAATTTGAAGAAAAGTTTTCTACGAGTTTTTCGCAAGAAATTCTGCAAGAATATTTTTTATGAAAAAAATTAAAAGAATCACTATAAATTCTATCAATAATTCTTCAACTTTCAAATGCTCATAATGAATTTATCCGAAGTATTTGTTTCTACGCCTCCAACATGTGATACATAATCTTTAAATTCTAAGATTGTAGATTATAAGTCTAACACTCAACCATACAAATCAACTTGGAAGGTAAGTGTTGTCCCAACTAATATACTCTTTAATTATTTTATTTTCAATCGATGTGGGACTTGAAGTTTTTTTAAAATATTAAACTTATTAATTTAATTTTTCCTGCAAATTAAAATTGACAGAAAAATCCGTAAGAAATATATGTAAATCATTTTTCGCAAATGAATTCGTAAATATTTTTTGTGAAATTATTATTGCAAGAAAATTCATAAAAAATTTCTGCGAATATTTTTTTTATAAAAAATTTTGCAGAAAAAGACACTTTTCTAGTAGTGATAGTAATATTACACATAATCATTGAAAGCTGATGTTGCAATGGTTATTATTTGCTTAATTAATAACAATAAGTAAGCTTTCTCAAAATTGTACATGATATAGTAATATTAATTACAATAAATTGACTTAATTTATGTTGTTGATTGGAAGCTTTCTCAAACTTGTTATCTTATGGTCCTTAATTCTTGCTATAATCACTTAAGTCACAAGTAAGCTTCTACTATTAATATATATAGTTTTTCTTTTCTTCTGAAATTTGGTTTATAAATTTAAACCAAGCACATATCATTTTTCTTTTCTCACATATGAAAAACTAGAGGGAAAACACAATTTTCTATTTCTGAAGCTGAATATTTTGTATTTCACTCTCCATATAACAAGGTAACTTACAGTGTGTTAGATAGAGCATTATATTGCGTTAGTATGCTTTGTGAAAAAAAATATATATTTTATGGCTATTTACCTGTTAAATAAAAATATACAACACATTTTGGTGATAAAAATGCTGAAAAATATTAAAAGTAAATAAAATTAAAATGTATTTTGTGGTATTTCTAACAATAATACTAGCGTCCAATTATATTTTCGTCATTTTTGGTACATGAAGATTTACTAATTATTTAAAATGTTTAAAAATGTAAAATATCACAGTTTTTAACCACTAGAAAATAATTTAACCGTCTCAAATAATATATAATATATTCTTTTTAGTGTTAACGTAAAAGGAGCATGTGAATTGTTTGAGTAAAATACATAGTTTGATACTCTTTATTCAACCCTCAGACTTGTTGCTATTAAAACAAAAAATAAAAATTACTTGTGCATGTGCTGGGTTGGCAACTAGTTGTTGTCGATATTAAAAATTTGAAATTCAGCAAAGTGAGATCTTAAATGTGGTTCAGTTTCTGTAAAAAAAAAAATCATATTATTTTTTAAGTATCACTGAATATTAATTCTTTAATCATTTTTATTTAGAACAAACTAAAACTATCGTGTATTTTGCTTTTATATTTTCAAATTTAAGGATATTTAATAGAAATATAATAATGATAAAATTACTATCTTAATATAAAAAATATATAATAGAATATGTCTTCATTATTAATAATAGAATTTTGTTTTTTATATAGAAATGTGATAAAGAGAAATAATACATAAAGGGTTTAGCCATTGACAAACTTTGTGATATTTTGTACTTATAATATTGTTACTAAAAAATAAATAAAGAGAAAACTTTTAGAATTTAAAAATAAATTTAGGAAAAAAATTCAAATAAAAAACTATCAACACTATGTTTCAATGTTTATTATTTTGATATGGAATAAAAAAAATGTGTGGCATATTTAATGTAGGAAAAGTCACACAATATCCTAAAAAAAATTTTTAAAAAAAACTCTAAAAAGATTTATTTAAAAGTTTCAGATTTATAATATAAAAATAAATTTTATGATGAAGAACAACTTTCTATCAGAGATTTAGCTCTTGTTTAGTTGAAGTTGGTCTAAAAAAATTTCTTTCCATCATCAAAATTATTATTATACCATTTATAATTTTATCATATACAAATAAAATTATTTTTATCAAAGTTATTTATGTCTTTTAAAAATATAATTATTTATTTTTTTCATATTTTTTTCTTTTTTTTTGGTCTAATACCGAAGAATTAAACGATCATTTTTTTTTCTTACTTATTTTCTTTTCCAACTTTTTATTTTCTTTCACTTTTTCCCATAATTGACTTTCATAAATCAAAGAAAGAATCAACTACATGAAATGAGAAATGTTAGAAATATTTTCTCTGATATTTTTTTAATATTTTATTATTGACTAAAACTTATTAAAAATTATAAGTTTAGTAGATTTTGTATCTCATTTAATAATTTTTATATTGAATAATAGTATCCACTAAAATTTTGGAATTTTAATAAACTTTAATCCATAATTAATAAAATACTTTAAAAAATGTTAGAAAAAAATGTTATCGCCACTTGTCTTAACCACATTTAGGAGCAACACATTTTAACAATCCGTACAAACAAACAAAAAAAATCGGAAGAACTGAAGAAGACAAGGAATCCATTCAAATAAAAATGCTCATGCGTTCTTAGGAAAATTACAACTTTTTATATTTTTATGAATTATTACAAAACTGTTGCTACGTGTAAAATCTGTATAATGTGAATGATTTTATTATAAAATGATTGAAATGTCATTTGGCAGGAAAGAAGATACAATAACAAGATACGGACAATTTTTATATTATAATAGTTTTCAAATAAAATAAAATATATTATTCTTTATGTTATCAACTATTTACGTTATTTTTAATAATATTACTAAATAATTTGTTTAACTTATATTAGTATATATTTTAATCAATAGACTATTATAATTATATTGTTGTAAGAAATAATTTAAAATACTAAATTGAATTTAAAAAAATAGAGGATTAAATTGAAACTTAAACTGAAAAATAAACTAAATACAAAATGCTAAAGGACATAACTGAAAATTAAATTAAATTTAGAGGATGAAAATTATAATTAATTTTACTAAGGAAAATTAAATTAAATTAAATTCAGAGGATGAAAATTATAATTAATTTTACTAAGATATATTTATCTCAGCAAATTTCAACGTGTCAACTTTCTAACTATTTTTATTTACTTTTTTTTTTCATACAATGTTAGTAATTAATAATTCATTAATCATTAAATACTTTCACTCCGGACAACTGTAAGATTTATTGATATATATATATATATATATATAATACTTTGTTGTTTGCTATAATCTAAAAAAAAATCTTTAAATATATGTTAATTATACTGATATAAAATATATGTCAACGTAGCATAACATGTTTTGCAAGCAATGTGATTGCTCGATACATTAAATAGGGTGTCAAGCTAATTTTGTCAACGACTTTTTTTTAATAGGATGGAAATATTTTTAGAAAATGACAATAAAGTTCAAACTTATTATCTTTTGGACGCTACTTTAATCCTACCAAATCATATGACTCGATACACATCGTCAATTTGATAAAAAATTATTATATATGTTTGGATAAAAAAAAATATTAAAAAAAAAAGAACAATGAAACCATATTTTTTCTACCACATCTCATTAGAGTTTTAAGGTCATCATAATTTTTCGACATAATTCAACTTATAAAATATATATATATATATATATATTTCAATAATTTTCTACTTAAAGTTAGTCCTTTGAAATTTTAATATACTTGAGTCCTTTTTTTTTAAGGTAATAAAATCCTTTGCTTACTTAATTTACATTCCAAAATGAATTTTACTAAAATGTAACCGTTATTTTATACTATTATTTAATCATGAATTATCGTGATGATATATAAGATAATTAATTTTTGAATAATTATTTTAAGATTATATATCTAAAACAATTTATGATTAGAATTTAACAGTCATGTTAATATAATAATTTTTACATTATCAACCAATTAAAAGTATTTTTGATATGATTTTTAAGGTAGTTATAATAAAAATTAATAAACTTACCATATTGTGATTAGATGACAGTGTCATGAATAATTTTTTATTCTACTAATTGTTAATTTAATAAATAAAATTTTAAGTCAAATTAAATACTACATACTTTTAATTGACTATTAAGTAGATGATAGAAAAATTCACTAACTTTATAATCAAGTCTAGCACAAAAAATGGTAATTAAATTGTAAGTTGATATTTTGGAAGAATAATATTACACTACTACTGTAACAGTAGAAGTTGAACAATTACTTGTAGTTACTAAACACTTCATCTCCCTCACTATTACTAAATACTACTCTTCATACCATTCTCTATATAAACATGAACAAGTTTGCACCAGAACCATCCACTAACATATGTTTTCATCATCCCTTGATCTAATACTAAAATGACTTTCACCCTCAACCTCTTTGCTATTTCTTCTTTAGTGACTATATTTGCATTGGTCTCATCAGCTTCTATGGTTGAGTCTAGATCACTCTTTGACCCCTCTTCAAGCCTTGCATTTCGTTTGAAGCTTGAGGATGATCCCTCCAACTGTTGGGATTCACTATGGAAGATCCAAGCATGCAGTGGCGAAATTGTGACATTTTTTCTTAATGGCGAGACCTACCTTGGACAAGGTTGCTGCCGTGCAATTAGGGTTATTGGACATGATTGTTGGCCCAACGTTGTTGCTTCTCTAGGATTCACCGACCAAGAGACTGATATATTGGAGGGTTATTGTGACGAGGTTGTTCTTCATTCACCTCCACCACCACCATTGGAATCTATAGTTGATCCAAAATATTAACTTTGGACTAGGTGGTTTTCAATGAATAAGTAATAATAAATAAAAAGTAATGTTTTGTTTCCTCTTCTCAATTTTATGTCAGTTAATATGTTCCACATTACTCAGTGAAAACAAAATTCTGAGTGTATAGGGTGAATCAATGTGATATGCATACATGATTGTGGGTTTTCTATGTTTAAATTTAGTTCCATTAGTATTTCTCTTTTTAATTTATACGATTTGGGTCGAGTTTTATGTTAATTTTAGCATGTGAGTTTTAATTTACAACATAACACAATTGAAACTGAATTCATTAATTAATATGACAAGGAAAATATAAAGCAATTGATTGTAGACGGATAAGAAAATATGAAAATTTAACTAGGATATTGCTGCTCTTGATCTCCAATAAATCCTTCAAGAGAACCTTACTGCTTCGTTGTGGTTTCTTTAAAAAAAAAGTAATAAAAAAATTTATAATATATAAAAGAATGCACATGGCATGATTTAAAAATGGATTTGATGAGATTGAGTATCATTGAAATTTAGAATATGTAGAATTGGGAGGTTTGATTCTGGTTCCTCCTCGAAATTTTCTTTGCACCAATAATGATTGTTCATATAAGTTCACTTGCACATAATAATGGTTGGTATATTCGTGAATACTTTAGTTTATTTTTTATCTTGGTGGCTATTTTTTTTTATAAAAATTTTGTTTAATTTTATATTTTATGAACACATGAACATTAGTATTATTTTCTACCTAGACCTAGACTCTAGGAGACCCATCTTCCCCACTTTATAAACAACAAAGAGCACTTGGACCCCAAAACCCTTACAAATTGTTGGGTATGATTGGGCCAAAGGTGAGTCGGCCCAAGAATACCACATAGCATGACAAATAACCTTGACAAATTGAAGTTACGAAACCTGTGAAAAGAACCCTAATTCCTTTGACAGGTTTATTCCTCACTCTCATTCTTATTTAAAACATCATTCCTTCATTCGTATTTCTTGTTATCATTGTTTAATATTTTTTTCTTTGTTTTGTGATTCTTTAAAACAACACAATTGTGCTTCCAATCTCTATTAATTGTATGTACCATTTTCTCATATTATCATCTTCAGATGGAGATTGAATTTTAGATATTATTTTAGAATTGTTATTTATCAAAAGTTCCTTAATAATACTTTTCACAATATAATTGTTATAATTACTCCAAGATGGTTGAGGCTACCGATATGGGGTTGTGTGTTTGTGTATGATAAAATAAATTTTTGTGATTTTCTTGTTATAAAATATCATTTTTTCAACATGTTAACAAAATTGTAATGCTTATAATTTGATATTTTGTTATTTAAATGTTGCATGAATGGTTTTCATATCAAATTTTAACCTAAAAGATATTTTTTTTTACATTTGAAATTTGAAAAGTGGAAATGCATTTTAGATTTTAGAATGAGTTATTAAACATTGGTTCATTGATATTGTTGGATAATTTTTTAATAGTTGAAAATTTATTATTTATATAAAAAAAATTAGTTCATGGACTAGTCCTAACCCATAGAACTTTCTGTGTGGACTCATTGGGCCTGTAAATTTTTTAACCCTAACCCATATGAGCTAGAATTTTGGAGGGTGGGCTGGGTAATTTTGACAATCCTATTTTTGCCTTGTTTTTTTCCTAGCTATTTGAAGATTTGATTGAAGTTCTTCATATTTAAGGAGCCATGTAACTGATGTAAGTGTTTACTTATGCCGTGTGGTCCAACAAGAAATTTTGGACTTGGAATGTTTAGTTTCTTTTTCACAAGAAACGTTTAGTTTTTTTTCAAGCTTTTATTTATGCTGGATTGGAATTGAATTTTGCTTGGCTATTAGGTTCATTTCCGTGACCAGTTGGTTAACTAGGTTGTGTTAACTTGATTAACTTATGATTTGCTTCATCATTACTTAGTTATTTTCATAGAATTTTGGTTCCTCAAATTTAAAATTGTTGTTTAGTTCCTGTAATTTCAAAAAATCTTATTTTAGTCCTTATATTCAAATTTTGTTAAGAAATTTATCAAACATTATTAGATAAAATCTACCTATCGGTATTCCTATTAGTGAAAATATCGCATTAAATCTGATTAATATCACATAACTTTCTTAATTAGTCACTTTCAAATATGTTATTAGTGATCTAAGGGACTAAAACAAGATTTTTGAAAATTACAAATACTAAAAACAACAGTTTTAAATTTGAGGGACCAAAAATAAATTTACCTTAAATTTGAGGGACTAAAAACATATTTAAACCATTTATATTTTACCAAAATAATATTCATGATTTTAATAGATATATTCATATATAAGAAGAGTTACCTTCATCATATTGTAGCATCCTCTCCATTTCTTTTTTCTTTTAAATTTCAATAAAAATAAATAAACTAGCATTTTATTTTATTTTTTTTTCTATTGCTACTGATACTATTTTCTTCTTTCTTTCTTTTCTGTTCTTCTATATGTGTTGGGCCACGTAAATTTTTCTTAGTCGAACACGTTGGCCAGTTTCTGATCTCTCCTAATTTGGGCCAGAGGCCTTGGAAATGTAGATAAAAAAAAGTGGCTATAGTAACCCAAATCTGTCTAATAAGTTATAGAGGTTGGACTTCAATTTTTAATCCCAAAGTTAGTGCCAATATTTTTTAGTATAGTCTAATAAAGTCTTGTTATAAACAGTTTTGAATTGGGCTACCTTAGTTTGGCACGTAGACAATTCACTTTTTTTTTTTTTTTTTAATTTTGGTAGGATTTTTTTTATTAATTTTTGATAGGTAACAGAACATAGTGACAGCAACAACACAGCAATTACAAATAATAAACATATAAACTTCTTTAAAGAAATTAGATAACAAAATAAACTCATTAACTTCTTTAACAAAAACAATAACAACCTGACACCGACAGGGAAAGTCGAAAATACTATCCTTATTCCTTGCTCCACCACATAGACACGCCTTCTTCATGATAAAACTCATGCTAAACAGTCCCTATCATGAACTTTGCATGAGATCACAACTAACTAGAAGTGATGCCTTATGTAAAAACCACTAACTCATCCAAGCACAACTACATTTCTCATCATTACCACTCCTTCCTTCTCCCACTTTCAAAAACAAGAAAAAACAATCATTAGAATGATTTTGTACGTATCCTATAGTAGACAATACCCTTTTTTTTGTTGTTTTATTTTCCTATTCATGAGAAACAAAGATTAAAAGACTAAATTTAACCCACAAAGTATTATGAAATTAAAACTATTCATTAATTATAATAGAAGAGTGAAAAATGAAGTGAAATCTAGTTAATATGAGTATTAAACGTATTTAACTTTATGTGAGTTGTAATATATATGAGTCAAATTTGTTGTGTTATGAATAAGTCTAAAAATTTATATTAAATTTTATATCTTTAATAATTTTTATAATATAAATTTAACCGATCTAATGATTAAATTATATTATATTATACTCGAGATAATGTATATTAAATTTTATTTGATTTTAATTTTTTTAGATATGTTATCCAAAATTTAATATTTACACATTTTAAATATGATATTATACATTAAAATAAAGTAAAATGATGAACTAATAAATAATTTTGGAATCATGTGAAATTTGATAAACATGATCTTGAGTAATATCACATAATTCAATGATTCAATCAGTTAAATTTTTGTTATAAAAAAGTTATTGAAGTTATAAGATTTTGTGTAAATTTTTAAACTTACTTGATGTCAACAGATCCTAATTGTGTAACACCATGATTTCTTAATTATGTTTATTGTGGTAGATGTAATTAATTATTATATTTCATGTCGTTTTATTGTTTGTAACTTTTGTGGAGTGGAAGTTAGAGTTGTGATAACTCTAATAAGTTATAGAGAATATGACTTAAGTTATAGAGAATATGACTTATGTTTGAAAGTTGACCTGGAGAAGGATAGGTGATGGAAGACCATGGACCAAGGGCCCAATTACTCGAGCTATGACTAGGGGCATATAGGAAGGATTGGCTAGCTTGGAGGTTAGTGGGCTTTCTAAGCCCAAACTACTCTTCATGTGGGCCATCACATCTTAAGAGTTAGCCTAACTCATTTGTACATAATAGTTTCTTGTATAGGTTCCTTTTTTCCTTTGTATTTGTGAGACACTTTCTTTCTTTCATATAGAATATTCCTTTAAGATTTTAGGGTATGTTACTTGGAGACTTTTGCTCCATTTAACCTTGTATTAAGGGTCATTGATTTTATATTTTCAGTAGTAGAAGTGGGGTGTCAAATTGTAAGGTGTGTAGGTGTATAATAATTGGGCTAGAAGTGAACCTAGGCTAAATTTTACATATTGGGTTTGTTTTTCTCCATTTTTTCTAAGGAATTGATTTAGTTAGGTCTCACCATCATTTGGTAAACCTAACTAAACCAACTCCAAGATTTTTGGATTGGATTAAATGTGGGAAAACATCCTTAGCTTCTTCTACACACTTGGGAAGCTTGTGCTACAAGCTTCTAACTTAGCTTGCTTCCCAAGCTACTAAGTTAGAAGCTTGCTCCACAAGTCTCCTAAACTAACTAGACCGGTTAGCTTGAGTGGAAGAAGGAGCTTGCACCACAAGCTTCTCCTCACTATATAAGTCTTTTCGTCGGCTTTGTAATCACTTTTGATGTTAATAAGATTAGAATTTTCAGAAATACTCTCTACTTTCAAAGGTCCAAACGTAGGAGAAAGTTCTCTCCTTAAGAACCTTCACAAAAGATTCCTTCCTTTGTGCATAGGTTTCAAATTTCTATTCTTCTTCTTCTTCAAGAAGATTGCCACGCCTCCATTGTTGTTTCTTCAAGCTTCTAAGAGCTTGAATACTTGTTTGTGAATCCCAAAGCCTCAAGAGAAAATTGGACATAAAGATGGAGCTAGGAGGAGATCCTCAATCACTTCAACTAGTCTATTCCATCACTAGGTATATAATGTAAATT